CCCCCCCCCCCCCCCCCCCCCCCCCGTTTTCGTCTTTTTCAAAATAATTCCCACAAATTTTTATAACTCTTTGTGGGGGGGGGGTTAACCAACATGCATATAAGTAACCTATCCTGGAAAATAATGGGAACTAAGGACTGTTGAGAGCCAGTTTGGTGCAATGGTTAAGGCGTCAGGCCAGAAACTGGGAGACCATGAGTTCTAGCCCCACCTTAGGCACAAAGCCTGTTGGGTGAACTTGGGCCAGTCACTCTCAGCCCTAGGAAGAAGAAGGCAATGGCAAACCACTTCCAAAAAATATTGGCAAGAAAACTGAAGAGACTAGTCCAGGCAGTCACCAGAAGTCAAAAACTGACTTGAAGGCATCAAAAAAAAAAAAAAAAAAAAGACTGTTGAAGTAGTTCAGAATTAATTTTAGAAAATCTCCAAGTTAATTGCAAAGCCAGTGGATAGATAGATGTGACTCAGAACTGGAAATGGAACAGAGGTCATCTGGCCCATCCCAATCAATTTTTTCACTAATTATCACACCTGTTTAGCTTTTTGTACTCTTGATCTGCTACTAGCATTTTCATACTAAGAAGAAAGATTAAAAACATCCTGTACCCTCATTATACCTCCTGCATTCCTGGTAAATAAATACCAACAAGGATATAAGATAATTATAAAGAAGATAAAAGGCTGAATTTCATAACAAATGCAGATAATTTTTATACACACACAACACCCTTCAAGGTATACAGAAATGGATGCAGTATGTTACAGAATCACAAGGTTGGGAAAAAAGTACTATGATTGGAGTCAGCTTTTCTACTTCAAAAAGTACTTGAGCAGTACTTGGAGTTGAGCAGAGCAACTAACTAAACCCCATCATTGCTGCCAGCCTTTCCTAAGAAACGGATGATAGAGAAAATGATGGATCAAATATCTGTGACAGAACCACCTCCTCTCACCAGGTTTTCTCAAGGAAATCTCTTACCAGAGATGCCCAATTCTTTTTTTGCTCCACTAATCTTTCCCAGTGAATGGCTGGATGGACACTATTCCCTGATATTAGGAGAAGGTGTATGGTTTCACCCATTATCTTCTCTAGGTGCCTTTGAAGATATTTTTGCCATCAGCCTGTGGAACTAATTTCAGTAGCCAGAATCTCAAAGGATGCCAAGATCTCAACACTGTCTTGTTGGGTGTTCCAACATTTTAAATCAAAATATTGATTTATGGTCTTCATAATACAATGAAGAACTGCTCAGAAATGACAAAATCTATACTTTAATACAGCCACATAGTTAATATTTTTTCCTGGTACCAGAATCTATTTTTTTCTCTGACCAATGTTCCTTGACAGAAAAAATAATTTCCTACTCTTACTTTATGGGCCTTCTATTTCCATATGAGGTGGTGGAGATATGCATAGGAAAGAAAATTATTGCTACCAGGGCTGATAAGCTTATGCTATGACAATAATGCTCCTTCCGTATATTCTTATGCTTTCCTATTTTATTAGTATCAGAACCCATTTAATCACCACTACAGAGTATAATATTTCTACATTACAATGACAGACCAGATCAACAATACCAGATTAAAAAGCAGGTATTCTTTTCTTCTGTCTGCAGTTGAGGTTTTTTAAAAGTTACAACTGGTTATCAAGTATTACGATGAATAAAGCTATTAGGTAGGAAACAGAAAACAAAATTATGACATATCTTGTCTAACCTAAGAGAAATTAATGATAAACTACTCACTGATAGTGTATGCAAAGCCAGTTCTATAGATAGTGCAATCTTGTTTTGTCCGTTAAATTTATTTTCATTATTTCAGCCATCCCATATATTCTTACAAGTATTAAAAGTTAAAATAAAAAGGGAACTTCTACATTGAAATAGTATATGGTTTTAAATTAGATTTCCAGATTGACTGACAGTAATGGCATGATCTAATGCAGCCCTTTCTAACTTAGTCCTCTCCAGATGTGCTGACTTCAATTCCCAGGATCCCAAGTGTGTTGGCTGAGTACTCCAGGAGTGGGAATCCCTACACATTTAAAAGGTGCAAGTTTACAAAAAGTTGGCCCAATTTTTTTCTAATAAAACCTTATTCCTGAGAGGAAAATATTAACATGAACAACCTAGCATCATTATAGCAGAAAAGGTCCTACTTTGGAATGAACACATTGCTCTACTATGAGAGAGAGAGAGAGAGAGAGAGAGAGAGAGAGAGATTGATTTGCCTCATTCAGGCTGGGATTAAAACCTCTGGACTGAACTATGTGAAAGCTCATGAAAGGCCTACCTCACTGCTCCCTACATGTTCTAAAACACTTACTAAATTTCCATACACATCTTTGTTCTTCAGGGTAACTCAAGAGTAACTGTTCTCCAGTTCCCTCAGATTTAAGATTGTCAAAAGAGACACACATTCAGAAATGCGTGTTCAGCTGTTTTCAGGGATGGCCCAGTGCATTTTGCTGTGCCACTACATTTCAAATCAAGACAACAACTGGAAAAATAGCTACACTTTACTTCAATACTATGTGACTTGGACATATGGAGAAGTTGCTCCATTTAAGCCCCATTATTCTTTGATGACAACTGATTTTCTACTGTGGGAACAAGAAGAGAAATCAGTTTCAGAAGTGAGTATGTCTGAATCTAACTGGTAATCATCAGGTCCAATGTATCTGTACAAACCAAATTTGGACTAGACTTTACTGTTGGCTGCAGTAGTAATACTGTGACTCCAGAAAGAGCTGTTCCAGGATAAATCTGCTGAAACAGAGGACAGCAGTATGGCTGGAGGCAGAATAGATGAAATGTGTAATCAGAAGAACTTAGGTGAACTTGTGAGCTAATGAAGGAGCATCCATCAGCCTGAAAACACAGATGTCAGCTCTGCACATTAATAGTAAGCAATCTGGGGCAAAGAAGGATAGCCCAGATGATGATAATAATAATAATAATAATAATAATAATAATAATAGTCCTGCTTCTCCCAATAAAGTCCGAATCTACCCCAGCTGAGCCCTTGCAGTCTATCTGTACCCATCCGACAATTAACAAGGTACCTATTCCATACCTAAGACAGCAAAAAGGAGAACTAATAACTCTGATTGACATTATGAGATCAGCAGCAGGAGCTCTTTATCATGAAGAGCAAGACTTGAGGAAATCCCTTGTTAGCAAAAGAATGATCATAACCCTCACTACGATGGAAGTTAAGTACTAGATTGTCAAGAATGAAAATCTAGCAGCTTTCGGTTCCGAAGAGGCAAAGGATCCTGTATTTCCTTTCCAAGGTCACATCTGGCCACTGATCAGTTCATAGTACTATCCTTGAGCCAATATCAATCTGAGAATTTGGAGAACTTAAAAAAAATTAGTGGCATCATAAACATGGTACATCTTGCCAAGAAAGCCTAGAAGATGACTTCAGAGCTAAAGTCAGAGTGGCAATCAGTGCTGGGTTTTGCACTGTGGGGTTGGTTTTTTTTTTTTGGAGACCACTTCCTCCATCTTGGAAGAAAGTATTGCTCTTAAGCAAAAAGATTTCTTCTGACAGGCCTGCTTGGAACAGAAGTGAATTTTGTGTCCTTTGCTCAAATACAATAAATAAAGTGAATGTCTATTCGTGAATGCCAAAATGGAAGTTCTTGTGCAATGGTGCTCTAGAGACCATGGCAGAAAATGCCAGAAGAATTCAATATCAAGTATCTATTTCTCACCCCTACAGTCTGCCTCTTTTCTATTTCTTGTTGAAGGTATATCAAAATAAAATAGATGAAAAAAATATGCCTTGAACATGTGCAATAATATCATACCACCTCCCCAAAGTAGGGAGCTCAGAAGTTTTCTGATGGGGCTTCAGCACATGCACAGAACCTGTATGTGTGATACAGACTGTGAAGGTTTTTTTTTTTTGTTACTTCACCCCATAAAAAGAAGTTAAAAAGGAAAGTTGAAAGGGATTACAGCTTTCCTGTATGTTGCATGAATGCGAAGATTTTCCCATAAATTATTCTTAATTCTAAACCGCTTTGTGTTGTAATTTTATTGCAGGATTGCTTGTACTGAACATAGTGAAACATATTTCTGAGTAAGTATAAATAGAATTGTACATGAAAAATTTAATGCAACTCCTCATTGCTCAACAATAATCAAAAGCAGAATACACAACAGTGGTGGGTTTTTTCCCAAGTTGCAACAAATTATGTTTAAAAAGTACACAAAGCTATAAGGTCCAGAGTTATATAAATCAATTTAATGAGGCTATTGACAGCTTACCAATGGTTTCCATTGTATCTCTCTCTTCAATCAGAAGCTGAGCTCTGGGAATATCTATATGCATCCTCAGTGTCTGCTGTTGCTTGTTAAGTGTATCCGATGTCCTTGTATTCTTGCTAAGTATTAAATAAAACACAAGCAAATTTAACTAAAAGGGGGATATATCCCTTTAAAACCAAAATACACTAAAATTCCATTATTTTAAATGAATTAAAGATCCCTTAATCTCTTATTCTGAGATGTTCAAACAAAGCCTGTTCATATGCTTTAAAAAAAAAAAAACATACAGGCTCTATTGATTTAAAGCAGGAGGCAAAGTGGTTAGGACAAAAAAGGATATGATCTAGAGATTTGAAAAGCTTTACATAAGTTTATGTTTAAAGAATACAATCTTTAAATTGTTATTTCCCCCCACTATCTGCTTCTCAGGTAGAAAGAACAGTAATTGTCCTTTCATCCAATCAAAGCACAATGAATGTTATGACACTGTAGTCTTACTGCATTATAGTAATGATAGGCAGTAATCCCAATTCTCAGATCCAGCTTGATGGACAAATAATTTAGGACTAAAGTGGAAATGCCCCGGATGTCCTCTATTAGGCAAGAGTTGCTGTGACAGTGGGGGTAGAGAGGTTGTTGCCGCTGTCCTAACTGAATGCTTTGTTCACAGTAGCAAGTGGAAGACTTCAGAAGGGGACCCAGAATCTTTGAATTTACAGGATCCAAAACTGGTCTCCCAGCAGCAGTATGGTCTGCACTCAGGACTCATCAGCATCTGGACTAATTTTCCCATTGCTTTCTGTTGTAGAACAAAATAATGTAAAAGAACAGAAGGAGATGCTCTTGCTCAATTGCAAAGTATATATTTTGTATGAAAAGGTCCTAAGTACCATCTCTGGAATTTCTAGGAGGGTTGAGAAGGCTCTTGCTGGAATCCCCGGTGAGCCATTTTCACTCAGTTTCAACAAGGCTGGGCTACATGGACCAATATTCTGATGTAGGAAGCAGCAAATTTCCATGTTCCTGATCTGGTATGCTAAAAAGCCCAGGAATAACCCGGCCCTCCACACATAGAAACATACACCCACTTTTTACTCTGATCAGGACAAGCAGGCAGCATACATAAAGTGGTGGTAGATTTACTTCTTTCCTCTCCTCTGTCTCACTTAGATTTGCTAACACATTCATCAATATAGAAATAACATCTTTAAAAAATTGGTATTTATTCAACTGTTTCTATGGTTTACAATAGCTGCAATAGGTTTGGACTACTGTATATAAATAAATGTTCCTGCATTGATTTCAAGTGACTGATAGCAACATTTTGAAACAGACATAAGACCCAGTTAGTATATTATCACCAAATGATTATATTCTTACTTTAAAATTACAGTTGGCATAAGTTACCTTTTAAGGAAAAATATAAAGATGCAAACTGGGCAATAAAACTGTAACAAAACTATAACTGGTTCACAATATGTGTTAAATACCACAGAATTATATTTATCTATAAAAGAATTAACAGGAATACAAAATAGGTGCATTGTCATGGAAGAGTTGCAGAGAACTTTTGAGAATGTTGCAAGGGTTTACCTTACAGAATTCATCAAGAAGTCACTTAATTTCTAATCTCTATTTTTCATGCAAATGACTACTCAAGACAGGTAGTCCTCAGCTTATGACCATTCATTCAGTGACCCTTCAAAGTTATGATGGTGCTGAACAAGTGGTACTTGTGACCAGTCCTTGGAATTCTGGCCATTGCAGTATCCCCACAGTCATATGATTGCGATTTCCGATGTTCCCTGCTGGCTTCCAACAAGCAAAGCTGGCAGGAAGTTGGAAGTTGAGGTTATGTGAGGTCCTCACTTAATGACCACATGGTCCTCACTTAATGCCAGCAACTGGGACTGCTAGAACTGCTGTTGTTAAGTGGTGCTATCCTGTGGCAGGGTTCAAGTCAATGAATTAGTCAATGGCAAGTTGCTTGCAATCCTTGCTTTCTCTATCACTGTCCTCTTATTTGCTTCAATGAAATTTTAATGTGATTGAAAACTATTAAATATTTTAGGGATAATCAAATTATCTGCATTTAACCAATTCAAATATATATAATTAATTTTACATTGAATTACATTAAATTACATTCAGTTTTTATTCTGGTTGCATTTAACCTTGGCTCTGTTAGCCTTGTCCACCAACTACTCCCCTCAGTGCAGAAAAAGATGTACTTTCTTGCTGAGGATTATGATTAGAACTTTCTTTTCTCATTCTGAAATGTGTAAATAGGGTGTTCCCAATGTAGGTATGCATTTTGAACAAAGTCCAAGTCCTGAATTCATGGATACTCTTTTATAAATTAACAACTGAATTCTACATATTTTACTATTCTTACCTCATAAGCATTTCAGCCAAACTTTTTGCATCTGAAAGAAAGCAGGAGAAATAGTAGCATTATGTAAACAGATAATTAGTACTTGTGTTTGCTTAATAATCCCCAAACAATCTAATAGAGTTATCAAATAGAGGCATTTTTCTTGGTTGTAAGAGACTGTATGTGGGAGAGCAACTTGAACATTTAATCCTTATAAGACTGAGCTGCTATTAATGGGGAGGTGAAAGAGCTGATTGATCTGGAGAAATTGAACACATAAGTATGGTGTAGGAAACAGCAAGCTTTCTTGTTGGCAAGGAGCTTCGGTGAGATGCTTCACTAAAATATGGGGTGGGGACAGGCTGGCTTGATTGGCCTACCTGCTTCAACGAACAGAGTTTTGGCACCTGCTGTACCCTGCACATAGAGTGAAGCATCACTCTATCAAATGAAAAGGTACATCCAGGTCACTCTGATGTTTGGAGCAGGAGAGCTGCTTCGCTTTGTTAACATGGTTTGAAGCAGTACTTTGCTCAAAGCTTCATCATGGCAGAATGACCCTTTAAAGCTCCACCCACTCCTAATATACCACCTGCATTAGATGGGGGCTACAGTCTTACCACATATATTTGCAAGTGGTTCTTTGATTCTTTCTTTTGTCTGGAGGCTGACATGATAGCAGTGATAAGAATGCCCTGATCACTGTCATTCATTCTTCAGTAATCTTTAAATTGGATTACTGTAACATGCTTTACATGGGATTGTTGGATAAAGTGCTCTTTTAGCTCAGTCTCTTATTACTGTCTTTTAGACTGCTTATTATTTGTATTGTATTGCTTTCTTTTAAAATGCTTTCATTCTTTTAATACATGAAAACAAGAAATAATAAAACAACCCAATTGTAGGCATACATGAAGAATACAAATTCTATCAAAAACTTTCCCATTGTTGGCTGGATGGAAAATGGGTTATATATGCCAACAAAAAGCAGGACTGTAGAATTTAGGGAATAAAGACCATTTGATAAATATGTAATCACACTGGAGACTGATATTATGAATTAGCTCCTTCATGATTTGTACCTATTAGCTGTACAATAATGACAACTTTCTTAGGACATTGGCTATGACTACAATAGAAGGTCAGAATTTTGTATCAATTTTGCTAGTGTACATTATTCAAGAAGATTATTTTGCTAAACTTTAATTTTTATAATACATTATTCTGGAAGGTACCCATTACATTTAATTGTTAACATCATTTTAATAATTAAGAAATTATACTTAATTATAAGCAAAATAGACTTATTTATAAAGTCATTAGGTTATTTTATTATCATTGGAGTGTTGTCATTGTTGAGTGAATGTCCTTCAGTTTTCACCACTAACATTTAATCTTCTTATCCCAAATCTACAACTCTATCTTAACTTGCACTGAGATTTAGAGAAGTGACCAGGACATATTTGATTCACATACTGAATATTATAATATATCTACATAATACTGCTGAAACTTTAGAGGATCCCCAGAATTCAGTTTTAGAGCATATATTACACCTCTAAAAGGTCCCAGATTCCTTAACATTGCCAGTTAAAATTCTCAGTCTGAAGGCCAGTCTGAGTCTGAATAAAGATTACTACAGTGTTCATGCACAATGGGTTACAACAAACTGCATATGGTAGAAGATGCATACAGGTCTAGTATAATTCACAGGAACAATACACATTGTTAAGGCTGCTAGGTGTTAATTAAAAAAAAATAAGGAATTTAAATGATAATGTGCTGCCTTTGTAATTAAGAATTGCCGTCTTGGGGGAGGGAAAATGAGGAGGGAATTTGTTAACCTAAATCAGTGCATGAGAGAGCAGAAGACACTTTCAATTCATATATATTAAAAATAAACTTTCTCATGGCCTACACTGATCAAGACACATGTCTGTGGGCAAAGACTTGCTACTTGGGAGCAGCATCTTTACTACCTTGACCTTATTTATTTATTTAAATTTATTGGCCACCCAGCTCCATGTTGATGGCTTTAAAGGGAGAAGGAACAAATTTACAAATGAAAAGGATTGCCTCGCTGTTAAACAGTTGCCAAGTACTCCCAGGATAAGGTGCAGTTCAGTTTGACATAGTAATAACAATTTTCTGCAGAACCACTTTGATGGATAAAACGGCATCTTAAATAAGGAGGCACTAATAAAGTAAAGTAGTCTTCTCCTCAACTCTGTTTACATAGTAAGCTATTTAATGTTGTTGTTGTGATGTACAGAACTTGCCACAAAGGTGCCACAGTTAGTATATACCATTGGCAAATATAATCCACATTCAGAGACTTAGTGGAACAGTGATTACGCTATTGGACTAGGAGTGAAGAAACCCAGGTTCTAGTATACCCTCAACTGTGGAAGCTCATTAGGTTTTATAGAAGGTAAATCTAACTCTGGGAATGGGAAAAGGATGAATGAAACTTTAAGGGAGGAGATTCAGAAAATATTACTCAGTTCTAAGAAAGAAGAAAACATGAAGAAGATGCTAAAAGTAACCCCTCCTTGATTTTGTTTGATATAAGATGTAGTAGAGAGAAATTCTGACAGGCTTTCAAGATTCTGTTGTTATACCCTACAACAATAAAGTGTGTTCCTAAAACCCCTGCTGCTCCTGTTTCCTGACTTTGTCTCCCTCGAGGTACTGATACTGGATGATGTTGGCTAGAAATTATAGTGTACATTCAGATTCTTAATCTCATTTTTGCCATGAAAATATGGAAATACAGGCAATCATGGCACATAAATAACATAGTAAGCCCAGATCTTGTAAAACTATACTAATGTCTTACTCAAAGCTTAGCAATTTGCTAAGAAAATCAGAAGCCATTTTGGAGGCATGGACAAGGAGTAAGAAAAACAATTACGAGGAAAGATGTTCCAAGATCTAAGCCACAGTAAATCACAGAGGGAGATCAAGGAGTGAGGGATTTGACACAGTTATAAGATAACCTGGTCCAAAATCAAAGTCAGAATAAATTTGAATTCAAAAGGAAAAATATGCCAGTCCATGGCAAACAGTTGTTACCAAAGTCAAACCCAACCCTTGTTCTAGGAACTCTAATTAGCATGTATAATCTTCACTAGATCTTTTCAATTACCTCATAGCTTTAAGACTTGATAGTTAGCCAAGGTTTGCTAATTTGTCACTATCAGAGAGGTTAGCCAACTTTGGAGGATCCTATTCATTAGCAGTATGATTTGCCTCTGCTGGCTCAGAGACAGATTGTTCCCTCACAATAGGATGGTAGTCTCTTGGGTTCATGTTCTCTTCCTCTGAGGAATACATGAATATAAGTGGCCTAGTTTGCATATAATGTTAAACCATAATGGATAGGTTTCACCCAACATCCTAAGCCAAAAGTAAACAAATTACTTTATGATTAGCATAATGTTCTGTGATCAGTTCAAAAGCTTGCTCCCTAATTAATGTTTACCTATATAAAGTCAGTAGCCAGAGCATACATGAATCAGTTATGCTAGCTTTTTCTGTTCAATGTTTTTTTGTCTAACAACTAAGATATGAATACTCTAAAAATTTACTAGATGTGACATATTTAGAGCACAGAATATAAGGTTATTGTCAACTCCAGTAACAATGGCCACAAAGAAGCAGCACAACCAAGAATTTAGACATGTTGGAATATTAAATTTGACTATACAATAAACTTCTTGTACTATGTAAGGGAGATACTGCTATAGTTGGAAAGACAAAATTATGAGACTCAGCTGCTATCCTCACTTTTGCTTATTAGGATCTTGCCAGCTATTATTTTGAACCTTTCTGAGTTACATTCTCTTGGGAAATTAACATAACTCCTGCAGCTTTCACTTGAGTTCTGCCATATTCAGAAACACAGTTAATTTAGAGTAGCTGTTTGGATGAACCACCTTTGGAGACAAGGAAAATAGTTTTTGCAGCAGTTGGAACTTAGGTTATATCACCTGTTCTGTCCCCTTCCCCAATCAACACTGCAATCCCTTTGTTCTTCTGGAAACCAAGCTTTTTGTACCTCAGTCAATGCTGCTGTAAAAACTAAGAGGAAGCAAGAAAGGGCTGAAACTGAACCATTACTAGCCCAGCTAAGTTGTACATGAAAACAAATACACAAAAATAACACTTAGCAGCCTCTAAAATATTTGCTAGCAGCAATGTATAGAAAACACACTTCATTTATATACACTGAATTTGCAACTTTTTCAGCTCCAAAGTTACAAGGAAAGAATTCTCCTGCATAACTACTATTGAAATAATCTGAAATAGCAAATTGATCATGATTTTTTAAAGTAATGTTATAAAATTCAACGGCATAATCTGGATATTTCTATAGGATCCTTCTTATAGTACAAGAATGTCTGGTTGCTGCTCAACATGTCTTTATCCTATAACTCTCTGGTAGAATTGGGACTTTACATGTTTAATTATCATGCTAATATGATGCCAAGATAAATCTCGAAATTCTCTAAAATGTTTTTTTTTAGTAATGTTACAAGAGTTGTATTATTATTTTTGTTGTTGTTGCTGTTATTATTATTATATTTTCATCCCACCATTTTATATATAACTCTAGGTGGCAAACATACCTAATACTCCTGCTGCTATTTTCCCCACAACAACAACCCTGTGAGGTGGATTGATCTGAGAAAGAGTGACTGGCCCAAAAAGCCAGCTTTCATGCCTAAGGGAGGCCTAGAATTCACAGTCCCCTCGTTTCTAGGCCAGCACCCTGACCACTACACCAAACTCTGCCTACTGGATATTGGAAAACAGCAGTGTCACAATTTCTGTAATACGAAAACCAGCTTTATTACAATTTATTCTATTCTGTATAGATCTGCGCATTTCTGGTATAGAAACCACAATATATGTAAGGCAACATTTGATGTTGATTCTTACCTCTGAGTCTTTTCAATCTCTGTTCCCTCCGTCTCCTTCTTACAACCAGCAGAAGCACAAAAAGCAGCAAGACCCCAACCAAGATACAGGAAATAGTCACCAGCATCTTTAGCCCTTCATTGGTTGCCAGACCTTCCTCACTTTGGACAACTGATTTAATGAGTGGAGGGATTGTACCTGGAAACAGTGTCATGACATTAGATGCCTATCAACGAAGAGAAAAGGTTGGTTTTTAAGTGACTACGGTGCACAGAAGCTCACCTGTATGTTCCTAAGAGGTTCAACTTATTAGGAAAGCTTCATCATTTTAGCTCGTATGGGACAGTTTGAGGTAAAGAGCTACCAATTCTTTGCATTTGAAAGAAAAGACAAATCAGGCCATTTTTATTGCCATGAAAAATGCTGGTTTTCTTTAAAAAAAACTGTAAGTTTCCTCACAGAAATTGTGGGAAATAAAGTATGCCCTTCAATCAAAAGAATTAAATTCCAACCAGAGAAATATTATAGGAGTTATGATGTTTACCTCTTATTTGAGACAAGCATTAGTTACTTCTGCTAAGAATCATTGCCCTAAGCCAACAAATGTGAGTTTTGTTGACATTGCTTCATCATGGATTTACCAAGCTGGGGGAACTTGGTAAATGAACGAAAGAAAACTAGGAGAGCTTGCAAAAGCTAAGAGCTCTCTTTAATAGTCTGATTCTCTGCAATGAAAACTTATTAAGGTGCTTGAAATTTGCACAGCCAATGGAATTCTGGCCATTTTTTAAAAAAAGTTCTTTGCATGATCAAAAGTCATCATTACTGAGCATACTGGAAGGTAGGCAGACATCTATGGGGGAAGAGTGTGATTTGGCATTTCAGGAGCATGTCACATGGATACCACTGGGAAGACTGGTTATTCAACAAATGGCTGGCATAGTGGATATGCTAGTCACAAAGCACTGATTTACCACATGGGCAACCATTTTGCTTGTTCCACACCCTCTATCCTCCCCTCAGGATGCTCTCTACCAGCCCACATCTCTTCTTGTCTTTTTGGTGAATAGCTGGATACTATTCCAGACCAAAGAAGCCACCCACTATTTTTATTTTTTAAAGCATTAAGTCTTATTGTCAAGAAGGATCTTACTAGGTTCTGATTCTTGCAGCTTTTCATTATTTTTATTTTACTTAAAATAATCTTAACAAAGTCAAATGTAATGGAGTGTCCAGCAACTACTAAAGGAGGTTTCCCAGACTTACTGATTGTAAAGGGAACCATTTTGCCTACTCTCACAGTAATGTAATGAGAGTCTTTTGCTTTTCAAAGCATTTCTGGTTGTTTTATCTCCTTTCCCTTTTATTACTTAGTAAATTTTAAGAAGTATAGGTAAGAACGGATGGACCAGTAAGTGAGAGAGCTGACCTGTATTCCCTGTGAGCCTGATTTGAACTCTTTTGCAACACCAAGTGATATCTAATTCTGAAGCTCGCCTTTCCCTTTTCCCAAACTTGCAGCTTGATAAATATACATTACCATAGTAAAAAAGAACTCCTTTGAATATGTTCTGCACCTTTGCAGTTTGGATAAATGATAAATGAATGGTTCACTATATTTGGTTCAACCCCCATGAGCAAAGACTGTACAATAACCTTTTGCCAATGAATTGAAGAGAGGTCACTAAAAACTAAATTGAACAATTAAGATTTGCCTCTATACCTTATTCTTTAACTTATTTATAAAACCTGTTAACCTGTTAACCCCTTCTATGTAAAATAATTCAAGCAATGTACAATATAATGTTAAAACATCCAAATATTAATGGAGTGTATGATCTAGTTTTCTACTAGGCTCAAGGATTCATCTCCTCTCCCTTTTTGAATGCTCACATATGTCGGCATGTGCACAGAAGATGTCCACTTCTACTTCAGTTTGCAATTTATTCCTAATCCAGGATTTCTAGGAGGACAGTGAGGACTGGATAATTTCAGGGGCTATACGCATTCCCCCTTCTGTAACAGGCCCCCAGATATCAATGGCCTGGCTTCAGATTATATAGTTTGAAGATGGTGGATTTTACACTTAGAGCTGAATTTAGGCCTAATACACATTTGTGTTGTTTGAAAATTTAATACACTGCTAAAAGATTTTAAAGTTTTGCTTGGATTTTTAAAAGATTGAATGACTTCTTAGGATAGTTTATGTACAATGAAGTCCTTTCTGGGAATGTGGCTGGCACTTTGCAACTTTTCTAGAATTTAAATCACCAAGCAGTTAGCAAATTTATGCTCAGTATGGACCATCCAATAGCAACTATATATTACTGAAAGCTTATTATTCACATGGTCTTTTGAATCTATGCACCAGTAGATTTAATTTCACTCATACAACCATGGGTGTTCTAATTAGCTATTTTTGACCATCACCCTTTATACTCAGCCTGAAATCTGCAACTACAGATGAGAGATAGCTCTTTTCACTTTTAGAGCCATTTTAAGGAAAGGATGTACATTTTTCAAAAACTCTTACATTCTTAAACTTATATGCACATAGAAATGATAGTTTTCATTGGACAGGAACATATCAGCGCCAGAATAGATTCAACTAACAAGCTGCTTGTAAAGAGGTAAGGAAATTAAGATGAGGGTTAAGATGGGAAGCAAGTTTTCACAGAGGTTATTCTCTGGTTCCCAACTTGTGATCCTGGACCTACTACTTGACAAGGATAAGTAATCTTTGGTATAAGTACCAAAACAAAAATACAGTTTATTTTTAAAAATGACCCAAATCTCAAGAAATTACTAACTCTTGCAAAATGTTGGCATCCTTGCTCACAAAGTATGGGAATAAACAAATCTTATGAAATATCAGTCATGTCCATTCTTTAAAAAGAATAAAATGTTTAAATCAAACCCCACAGATGATAATTAACTGGGGCTGTGTGGGTGTAATATGCCATGATGTCTATACATTGTTAACTGTGACTTATGTAGTGATCTTCAAAAACTTGCAGTGATGTTATGATCTGCATGAAAGAGAAGGTTGGGAACCGCTGAGGTAGATAAATGATCTGCTTCATAAGGCTACAGCTCTTTGGAGAATACATTCTTTACACACAAAATGTTCCAGACTTAATTCTTAGCCTCTCCACACAGATCTGGGAAAGACATATCTTATGTTTTGAAGCCCTATAGTCAGCCAGTGCAGAAAATGCTAAGGTCATGGAAATCTTCCAAAAGGTACTTTTCTTCAGTGACGTTCGAAGTTATACACCCATTAAAAGCTACTTTTAAGAGCAATGTGGCCCCTTTGCTTTTAAAAGTGAAGATAAATGTCCATGTTGCTCTGCTTTGCTCTGTTTCACAGCCCTTTCTCAGCATCTGCTGGCACTCACAAAAGCCACAAGACATTTCTGCACATGCACAGCACCTACACCAAAACCTCTTCCAGTTTTGGGTGAACTGCTCTTGCAACATTTTCCCTTGTAGCAAAGGCTGAAAGGATGTACCACCAGAGAAGCCTATTGAAGCCTTCTCCAACAGCATGGAGGTCAAAAGACAAGAAGACTCCCAGCCTTCTCCAGCTGCACTCATTGAGATCAGAAGAACTTCCAGGATTCAATACAAGGGATCTATGCAATTCTTCCAGTGGTCATAGCAATAGGGGCAAGAGACATAGGGAAGCTTTGAGGCAACATAAAGGACTTTGTTGCCAAAAGTCATGGTGTCTCATTTTTTCAATAAAAAGAATCATATCACTTCTGCAGCATGAAGCTCCTCATTAACTGACAACCTCACCTGGCAAAATGGTGCATTTCTAGAAGACTCCTTAATAAACCTGAGGCCAACATGACAGTCAGGGAGTGTATGTACTAAGACATAGTTGTAGCATGGTATTCTAAATTGTAAGGAGATATATTATATTAAGAATTAGCACTGTTCAAGGTTTATTAAAGCCAGAGCCTGGTATCCCTTGTTCCCAAAGTCAGGGCATGGAATAATAGTGTTAAATTAAATAAAGAAGATTCCAGTTAAATGTTAGGAAAAACTTTGCAATGGTAAGAACAGTTTGACTGTGCTACCAGTTAGCAAAAGACAGAGTGAACTAAGTTCAAGCAGAGATTGGACAGCCACCTATGGAGGATGCTTTAATTTGGTTCCTGCACCTAGAAGAGGCTGGACTTGATAACTTAAATGACCCCTTCCAATATTCAGATTTTATAATTATAGTGTATGATTTTAAATATATACACCCTCAGTTTTCCTTTGCGATGGGGAACCTGTGACCCTTCACATATTGCTGCACAACAGTGGGGTTGCCAAGATTAATATTATAATAGAAAGCAAGGTATGGAAAAGACCTTGGAGATTATCTAGTCCTTTGCCCACTTTGAAAACCCAGTACTGCAGATCCCTGACAGATGGCCATCTATTTAAATACTTCCAGAGAAAGAGATTCCACTACATCCCAGGGCAATCTATTCCACTGTTGAATAGCTCTTGCTATTAGCACATTCTTCCTGATTTCCAGTTGAAATCATCTTTGCAGCTTGTATTGCCTTTTGGAACAACAGTGAATAGGTCTGCCTTGTCTTTTACATGACAGCCTTTCAGATACTTCAGCTATCATGTCTCCACACAGTCTTTTCTTCTCAAGGCTAAACCTCCCCAGTGCCTTCAACAGGCCCCTTATCATCTTGGTCGCTATCGTCTGGACAGATCCAGCTGGTCAGTGACCTCCCTAAAATGCAGTGCACATAAATGAACACAATATTCTGGGTGTGGTCCAACAAATACAGAATGGAGACAAACCATGGCTTCTCTTTAGGATTGCATTAGCTTTTTTGGCAGCTATTTCACACTAACAGCTCATGTTCAACTTGTAACTCATTAAGACACCCATATCCTTTTCCCATGTATTATTGCTCAGTATGGTCTACTCCATCCTATACTGATGCCTTTTACCTACCAAAATGAAAAATGTTGCATTTGTCCTTGTTGAAATTCACCTTGCTGGTTTCTGCCCACTGTTCCAGGTTTCAAGATCATGCTGAATTTTGATAATCCTATTTTCTAACCCCTCACTGATGTTGAAGAGTACAGGGTTTAAAATGGATCTCTGCATATTCCACCCAACATCTCCTTCTGCTTTAATGCATTGATATGCATTCACTGGATACAATTGTTTAGCTCTCCTATCCTCTCTTTGATTTGAGGATTTCCATCCACGGGATCCAGTCTAGTAATTGTCTGTTGAAATGGACTCTTCTGAAATCTGAAGTTCAGCAGTATCTGGAGACCACGAGTTCCCCATCTCTATCTTCTTTCCCTTAGAGTTAAATTCTGAGCAAACCTTTCATTATATTTTGGAACAAACTGGGGAAGATTGCTAGGGGTCAGATCAGGCCATCTATAGGGAAGAATTTATACAAAAAGCAAACAATATATTTCTGATTCAAGCCCATAAATACAGAGAACTGCTGTTGTGGCAAGCTACCAATGCCAGCTGTTTTACAACAAGGACCATCTTGGACATGGAAGTATGTTCAATTTATAATGGAAAATCAAGAATTGTTTCCATTTCAAACTGAGGAAAAGGCTGTTAATATTTTGAGAGGAAATGATGTATAGAAAGTGATGTGGAGTCAAAAGTATTTCTGATTCAGTTCAGCAAGAACTAAGAAACCCTTAGATCTAGTAAAAAGTGAAAACCCGTATTAAAAAAAATCCTGGACAAGCTAAGCCAAACCTGAAAACTGACACTAAGGGGTTCATTTTCAAAGAGTGGGTGGAAGAAGGGGAATTAAACAAAGCTGAAGCACCTGAAAAAAGAGAAGCAGGAGGTTTCAAGTACAGGTCTGTAGTTAGTCACTGCTACTCTCCAAGTAACTATTCCTCAAGTTCAAAAGCAAGCCATGAAAAAAAATCTAATATTTTCAAACTTTTGTACCAGAATTAATATTTATGGGGCTTTAAGGGTGAGGAGTGTGTTTAATTACAGCAAGCATATAAGGGAAGCACTGATCTGTTTGCTTGGATATGCTAAAGCAGTGTTGTCCAAACGTGGCCACTTTAAGATGAGTGGACTTCAACTCATTCTGAAGTTGAATTCTGGGAGTTGAAGTCCACTCATCTTAAAGTGGCCACGTTTGGACAACACTGTGCTAAAGGAATAGAAAGGCACTGAACCATCTACCACAGCGAATCAAGCAGCCCAATTGTACTGCCTAACAAGCGACCAGAGAACCTGACATAAATTCAGCAGTGTCATGTGAAAGGTTTCCATGGGATGAGGCCTAAGATGGAATTTCAGTCTGCAAACATCTTTACTGTTTCCTTCATCTCGCTGCACACAGGTTACTTAGGTTACTTTATATGAAAATAAATTATTTGTGATTATTCTGGATTCAACAGCAATGAAATGAATGCACTTACTCCCATCGTAGTTGAGTGTTGCAAATTTGGCCTGTTTTTCAGCACAGCCAGCACTGTTACAGACTCTCATCTGCAGCTCATACCAGGTTGCCTCCTGAAGATCATACACTATATATGATTTGGTAAGCGATGTTCGTTGTGCAGTAGTCCATACTGTTGTCCCAAATGGCCTGTATTCCAGAATAAAGGAGGTGATTGGACAACCACCATCATTCCAGCCAATAAGGTTCAATCTTACTCGAGTGGTGTTAATACTGGCAAAGAGTTCTTGTTCTTTTGAAAACTGTGGCTCTACAAGAAAATATATATTTAAATTTTAAAAGTTATAATAAATAGATAGAAAACACAGTGACTTCGTGTCTCTGGGGTGGGAATACCTTTTTAATTTGCAAGATGGAATGTACTTTATTTCTGTTTCTTTTATTCTTGAGTAAGATTTTTTAAAATCTTTATTTCCCCCTTTCTCCTCTGCTTTCTTTTCATAGCTATGTTTTTTGTTTGTTTGTTTTTCTGTGTGATATATTTTTGGGAGAGGTATATATTGGGATGGGGATAATGGGGGTGTAGAATGCAGTTGCAAAGGCTTTCAGGACTAAATGACTGTAGTCTGTTGAAATCTAAGAGGCATGTGTTCCCCTTAGACCTCTAACATTGTCTTCAGTGTACAAATCCACATATGGGCTCCAATATTTTGTGAGACTAGAGGATGAGAGATGTATCTTCAAGAAGGAACAAAATTTTTAACTACTGTAGTTGCAGTAACCAATATTAGCGGCATGGCCCAGGGCTTCTGAAAATACTGCAGTAGGGATTGCTCAAGAAATGTGTTTCATTCACATTTTATGGAAAATAATTGCTGGGTCCAGCTTTTCAAACTATTATGCAGACTGGGACTCAGGTACTTACTTTAAAATAAAGATGGGATATAATTTCAAGTACCTTTCCCAAGTGTTTTGGCCTCTATGATCTCACTGATACGTCCTGGTCCCACTCCATTCTGAGCTGTCAGAGTGAACTTGTACCAGGTGCCACACTTCAGCGTTTCCAATCGATATGAACGTTCGCTAGGGCTAATGGGAAAACTGCCCCATTGTTCGCTGTTGTCCTCAGAATATTGGAGTATATAACCTATCAAAGATTAAAACAAAACAAAACAAAACAAAACAAAAACACAGTCCAGTACTGCAGAACTCATTCTGACTAAATAGCTTAAAAAATATACAAATCAAGGAGTGTTTCTACATTAGAGGGACTAATAAGAGCTTTGAAGTACTTCTGCATCTTCTTGGATTTAAAAAAAAGTTGGACAAGCGTTCCTGATTTACCTACATGGTCTTTCCTAGGCTGCAAGGAGCTTCTGATCTGTTGTGTAAAAGAAGAATCAGGAGAATCTCTGCAGGTGTAAATTTGTAATTCTTCTCTGATTCAGATACAAAGATACCATTTAATTATTTTGCCCAAGGCAACATAGAAAGGGGGAATCAATTAAAATCCTGCATAGTGTCTTTGTGGGGATTATTTCTTCATCATATTCAAGAGGTACAACATTTACTCATCCCAATGAACTAGGTTTCCTGCCATTTACATTTTGCTACCTCTAGTTTGCTAACTAACTGGCTCAATAGCAAGTACTATACTGAAGTAACTAGTACTGAAATTTGGGAGAACTAACTTGCTGTATTGCTGATACAAGACAAGCTAAGGCAAGACATTGGGGATAACCCATTTCTTCTTTTCATAATGATATACTGGTATAGTAGCCTCCCAAGATAAGAGATTACTTTTAGTAGGTCTTATGAATATTCTTTTGCACTATACTGCTCGCAAAATAATTGATAAATTAAAAACAAAATAAAATTCTGGACCTTTTAAAAATTATAATGCCTTGTTCAGAACTTACTTCTTATGTCTGACTCACATGATTTAATCTGGTCCAATTTTGCTTTAGACTCACTGAAATGTTAGTTATGAGGAACTTGTCCCATTGAAATTGAAAAGATACCCTAATCCTAACCCTAATCCTAACCCTAGTCCAATTTAGCTTAGTTAGTTAATATCATAAATGCCTCTGTGAGGGAAGGCATGATGCCTCCTTGTTTAAAAGAAGCAGTTATTAGGCTTTCCCTTAAGTAGTCTACTCTGGATCCTGCAGAAGAGGGGAGTTATAGTCCAGTCTCTTAACCTTCCATGGTTGGGTAAGCTGATGGAGAGTGGTAGATTCTCACAGGCAGGCAGTCCTGGAGGAAAGAAATTGCCTTGACTCATTTCAAACTGGCTTCAGAATGGGCTGTCAGGTTGAAACTCTCTAGGCTGGCCTGATGAATGATTTTTTGGTGGGGATCTACACAGGTTATGTTACTCTGTTGGTTCTTCTTTATCTCTTAGCAGCTTGTGATATCATCAAGCATGGTATCCTTCTGGCTTGCTTGATAGAATTGGCAATGGAGGGCAGCTTTGCAGTGGTACTTACAGGAATCAGATGCTTCTTGAAATGGAAACTATTTCATGGTGCCATTTTGTCTCCAATGCTTTTCAATATCTATTTTAAACTGCTAAGTTTAAGGGTTTAAGGGTGCTTGTAGACCTGCATCTCCTTCTGGTTTCCCAGACTGACACAATGGTCAGGAGTACCTTTTATTAGCTTCAGATGATATGCCAACTGCATCCCTTTCTGGAACAAGATGACCTTAAAATTATAGACTACATGGGGCTAACCTCCAGGCTTGACTATAGTAATGCATTATTACTACAGTCCATTATTCCATGTGGGACTACAAAGGGGCCTTTGGGTTTACTCCAGAAATTTCATTTGTTAGAAAACTCAAAAGCCAGTTTGGTCTTGGAAAAAGTGAAAAGAGTTCATACTGCACTGATACTGCTCTGTCTGCCAATTCAGTTCTGTACAAAATACAAAGTGCCAGTCATTACATTTAAAACCCTGGCTTAATTCTAGGCTCTGTGAGAAAATATATCTTTCTTTATGAACTTCCAATGTTAACTGAGATCATCTGAGGAAGCTCACCTACAATTGTCATGAGCTGATCTGTTGCTGACCCATGTTAGTTCTTTGTACTGTAGCTGTTCTAGTTCATTCCAATGCACTCCTTGCAGAGTTGAGAATCCTTAAAACAATTTCTTTGAACAGGCTTATGTTGATAAATTATTATATTTAAGTATTAATTATACTTGTTTTGTTTTTATTGTTATTTAAGTGTTTTTAATGCTTTGATTTTATTCAAAACTGTCAAGAGACTTCAGTAATTAACAATATCCCAGGTTAAATAAAATATCAATTAATAAAACTTAAATCAGGAATGCCAGTAAATTTGATTTATAATATAATGCATATCATACAATATTCTGTTAGCCAAATAACTAGTATCTCCAAATGCTTATTGTAAAGTAAGCAGCCTTGTTAAGATAACTGTACTTTCTGGTAAGCAAAACTAACTTGACCTCCTGTTGGGGTGAAATGGCAACATGTAAGGTGCTACTTTTTTTTTAACAAAATAAAATTCTGGCATTGAAGTGGAACTATGGCATGTTACCTCGAATAGAGCTGCCTCCATTGTCTCCAGGTATCCAGGAAAGAGTGATTGAGGAAGAGGTGGTTTTGGACACAGTAAGTCTAGGCTGGTCAGGTGGAACTAGATATGTTAAAAGAAGAAATTAAGAATAGTTTGAATAATCATTTGATTTTAAAGACATTTATCAGAGAATTGAGACTGAAAAATATGCAAATCATATCTATCAATGTGTCTGGTAATATCACTTCTTCAATTAAAACATAGCAGAAACATTCTTTTTTCCTTGAATATTTAAGTATTATATAATTTTAGCTGACATTCTGAACCATAATTTTGCCCTTGACTTGTCTGTCACTACAATCTCTGCACAATCATCTTCCAACAGGCAGGGAAAATACTTTTGCAATTATTCCTTTACATCAGATGTGTAGCCCTTTATATGTTAGTGAACAGCAGTTCCCAACACCACTCACAACTGGTTCTACTGGTAGGCTGATGAAAGTCAGAACAATGTACTACTATCGCAAATCATTTGCATGTCACTGCAGAGTAATGACATCAGTGTAAGTAAGTCACTACTGATAGCTAACTTAACATGCTTTCTAATATAAAGCACTGTAGTGTGTTAATCTGGAAAATGGAGTTTATTCATGATTAAGTCAGCCATGGAAAAGTGTGTTGTGTGAACACAGCAAGTGTCAGATGAATCACCTCGAGTGTAGGACAACATGACACATGCTGAGACAGCCTATTCCACTGTTGATCAGTTCTTACCATTTGAAAGTTTCCTGTAAGAAATCTGCTTCCATGTAATTTATATCCACTGAGTCTAGTCCTCTGTACCAAAGAACAAATCTGTGTATATCGCCCTTTTGATATCTGATATCTATCATTCTCCTAGTTGCTTTCCAGGGACACACTATGAGTTTTCAATTTACATTTTGAAATGTTCAGTCATTCTGATAATAATCAAAGTTCCTTAAGCTTAGAAATAGTTGTAGTGAAAGAATCATTTTTTAAACTTACCTTGAACTTGCAAATTCAGAATAATTTCATCTGATCCCCAGTTATTAGTAGCCACGCAACTGTAATATCCCGAATCTTCTGCTTTCACAGTATGGATAACAAAGCTGCCATTACTAAAGATGCTTCTTCGCCCATCAATCATCACGAGACTGGGTGTCCCGTTACTGCCTCACAGCAAGCAAAAATCATACATTAAAGAAGTTACAACCAATATTACTTAGAACTGGGGTTAATATTAAAAATAAAGAGGGGGAGGGGGAAATGCCTGGCAAGAAACTCTCTTAGCTCAAGAGAGTGAGATGATTCAGATTCAATGATACCAAGCTATAGATATTTATAAAAAGAATAAAAACTGAAGCATCAAACAGAAGCCTCTCCTGGTAGAGATCAGTATGTGTGATTATTGCAAAACAATCTGAGATTCATCACTGTGATGGAGCTCATTTGCATATCGAATGGAGCTGCAATGTTTGATTTATTATAATTTTTGCAACATGTTAAGAAATAAATGGATGCTTGGAACAATTCTACCTTCTCATCAGCCAGCCTTGGAAAGTAAAAATGTGGGTATAAAAATGTCACAAGCACAAGTAGCAATAAGGGAACACAAACTGCTCCCACAACAGTTTGAAGATGTTATCAAGTTTGGATCTGGGTGCGGGTGGATGTCTGCCATTTCCTGAGAGCTGGAGTTAGGCTTCAGGTTTCTCAGTTTTGAGAGGGTCTCATTGTCTTGGGTGAGAACAAGGCAGGGGAGTGGAAAGGAAGGGGACCAGGTATGTAGCACAGGTGGTAGTTTGATGAGTGGGGTGTGTGAGTGGCTGGTTTAGCCCAAGGTCACTTGGTTGAGTATGGCCTGTGCTTTTTTTTTTTTTAATAATAATTTTATTAAATTTTAAGCAAGAAAGATAAAAACTAACAGAAGCTAATAGTGTGACCTGTGCTTGATGGTGGGGAATTCCTTGGACAGGGAAGGTGGTGACTAATATGAGGAGAGAGAATTATGGTGGAATGGGATTTTGGTTGTGATGGGCAAGGGGAGATATGGTGAGAGATATGGTGAGAGCAGGCCACACTCAGAGAAGATGGTAACTTAACTAATTCCTCCCTTCCAGCTCTCCGGTCTCATACTAGAATCCAGGGCTTGAGATACTTGAAATCCAGGGGCTTCAGCTGCTGCAATGCAGTGTCTATCTAATGGTGAGAGACAGACCTGGCTTGTATCTTTGAAACATGGGAGAGGAGGGGGAAGGTCCTCTCTGACAAAACTGCCTGCCCATGTTTTGGATTTGGCATCAGTCTTGGTCCCTGGTGATGCCAGGGGAGGAGAGGTAGCTGTTGCCATCCATGAGACTTTGTTGGCATCAAGAGGCACTCACTATAGATAACTGGATGTGAGACCTTGTTTGAGCCAGTTGATTTTGCTACTTAGGTACCTTTCCCCCCTGCAGCATAGTGGGATTCCTGCCAGGACTGTTTGACCTGATTCCAGGGATGGTGGTGGAGGTTTGGCTAGTAGCATTAGGGGACTTCAACCTAATGAATATGTCCATGATTGTCATGGCAGCCATTAACTCCTGGGTCACTCCAGACTCCTCACTAAGTTCCCTTATTCCAAGGAACTTAGTGAGGAGTCTGGACTGACCCAGGAGTTAATGGCTGCCATGACAATCATGGACATATTCATTAGGTTGAAGTCCCCTAATGCTACTAGCCAAACCTCCACCACCATCCCTGGAATCAGGTCAAACAGTCCTGGCAGGAATCCCACTATGCTGCAGGGGGGAAAGGTACCTAAGTAGCAAAATCAACTGGCTCAAACAAGGTCTCACATCCAGTTATCTATAGTGAGTGCCTCTTGATGCCAACAAAGTCTCATGGATGGCAA